AAGTCTCCCTGAGACTTCCCAGCTTTTATGATAGGATACTTCCCTTTCTGCTTAGACAAATATTGCTCAGCACTCCTGCCACTTACAACAGAGCCTGAAAACTGAGGTTGTTGGTTTTATTTGGTTTCTTTGACTGTCTGTCTGTTTGTTTTGGCTCTCCATTTTGCTCCTAAATACCAATTACCCTTACCTTTAAATTGTCTTAGCCAATTCGCCAACCAACACTCCCCTTCTCCCCCCAAAAAATTAAAAAACCATGTCTTGGGAATGTAAACAACCTACCTACACAGAATATACAACTCCCCAAGTTAACCCATCAAGTTAATTAATTCTAATCAAATCCTGCAGAATGGCCAATTATAAGATCGGGAACTTTCCAAAGTTCAGCAATAACAATTTAGAAAATATAATGGGGAAAAAATTTTATTCGTAAGTAACACAGAAAATGGAATTGTGATGGGATGTTTATAAAGAAAACCACATCGCGTTGCAGGGGCCGGAGAAGGGAAACGTGACTCAAAGGAAAAGGATAACATGTTTCTGGCCAGAAAAACTCAAATACTGTAAAGGTGCCAGTATTCCCAAACTAACAGATAATACAGGAAACTCTCATAAGAATCAATAAAAAACGGCTGAAAACCCCAATAAAAATGGGAAAATGGGCCAAAGGAAATGAAGACACGATTAACACAAGAAGAAAAGCAACTAGGCAATAAAGATATAAGAAATTATGAAAAGTGCTCAGCCCAATGGGGAACAGGAGAGCCACCAGGGTGTTTGTTGGGCTAAGATAATAATCCGTAATAAAACCTCAAAACCCTGAGATGTTACTCACAAACTTCACTTCCAGAAACTTACCCTAAGGAAATAATCAACTGAGGGCCCAAGAATGTTCACCACAGCATTAATTTTAAAAGAGAAGGAAAGGAAGAAATTTAAATGTGAGCAAATGTTTATTACCTGGATAGGGATTGAAAAAGGCATTTGTTGTACTTCTGTGAAAAGAATTCATCCCTTAAGAAATTTTAAAAAACCACTGCCATCATCTTCTGAATGTACAAATAACCTTGTTATTTGAAACTTTCTGTAATCATCATTTATTTAAATAATAACTAGTTGGTCTAAAATTAGGGATATAAATTATGGTACATCTATATAGTGCAATGTTATTAATATACTGAAGGCCCGGTGCACGAATTTGTGCATGGGTGGGGTCCCTTGGCCTGGCCGGCGATCCGAGCCAATTGAGGCCATCTCGCCCAGTCCCGATAGGGCAGTGATGACGAACCTTTTGAGCTCGGCGTGTCAACATTTTGAAAAACCCTAACTTAACCTTGGTGCCGTGTCACATATAGAAATTTTTTGATATTTGCAACCATAGTAAAACAAAGACTTATATTTTTGATATTTATTTTATATATTTAAATGCCATTTAACAAAGAAAAATCAACCAAAAAAAAATGAGTTCACGTGTCACCTCTGACACATGTGTCATAGGTTCGCCATCACTGCGATAGGGGCTGATCAGGGCCAGCGGGCCAGGGGGTGGGACCACGGGTGGTTGGCCAGCCACAGGAGGTTGGCTGTGAGAGTGCACTGACCATCAGGGGACAGCTCCTGCATTAAGCATCTGCCCCCTCGTGGTCAGTGCTTGTCATAGCTACCGGCTGGTCATCCGGTCGTCTGGTTGTAACATCGCTTAGGCTTTTATATATATAGCTATTCAATGATTTAGACTTATGTATATGGACACCCACAATTAGGGGAAAAGCAGGAAATAAAATAACATGTATAGAATAGAATTTGTATTTTTTATAAATATACATGTTTAGCCCTGGCTTGTTTGGCTCAGTCAATAGAGCATCGACCTGTGGACTGAAGGGTCCTGGGTTCGATTCTGGTCAAGGGCAGATGCCCAGGTTGTGGGCTCGATCCCCAGTAGGGGCATGCAGGAAGCAGCCATGATTCTCATCATTGATGTTTCTCTTTCTCTCTCTCTCTCTCTCTCTCTCTCTCTCTCTCTGAAATCAATAAAAATATTTTTTGAAAATGCATCCTCTTAAAAATATATATATATATTTATACTCATTTTTATGTATTTGCATAGAAAGGTATAAAAATATATACAAAACATTAACAGTGGTTATGACTGGGTAGTGGGGTTGTTGAGTCATTTCTTTTTCCTCTTTTCAGATACTGTATTTTTTTCAGGTTTCTAAAATTATCACATATCCTTTTAATTATAAGAAAAAATAAGCAATATAAATGATAATTTTTTAAAGGAGAAGTGACTGACATGCGTTCAAGTGCTAATGCAACAAAGCACAATAAACATATTTTTCCTTTCCTGTGATGTGTGCAATGTAACACAAAATAGGGCGCTAAGTCTTTTTTCTTTCTCCATTGAGCACCTATGGAGAGAGCAAAAAAGAAAACCAAACTATCCCTGTGACCACTACCTGCTGCCATTCATTTAATTCTTCATTCAATCACTCATTTGCTGATCCCAGGGACCAGGCACAGTGCTAGAAAGGCTTCTGTAAAAACATCTGGGAAGGGGGTGGGAGGGTAGTAAAGGATAAAAAGGGCCAAATATATGGTGATGGAAGCTGATGTGACTTTGGGTGGATGATACGACACAATGCAATATACAGATCCTGTACCACAGAAATGTGCATTTGAAACCTATATGATCCTATTAGCCAATGTCACCCCAATAAATTTAATTTAAAAATAAGTAAATAGAAACATCTGTTCAGAGGCAAAATGCATTTGCTGAGTTAGGGTGGTTTATGTTTGTCGGTTTTTCATAATTAAAATTTTCACTACTACTGCCCTGAGATTTTGCACATCCTGTATGTGACTTCTCATAGCACATCTCTGTCTCTTTCCCCACCCCCACCCACAAGTGCCCTAAATTTGGGGGTGATGAGGACCAAGGTCACAGAGTTTGGCCCATAGTACCTTTAAATCACATCGTGACATCCTATTCAAAGATGCAACTCAAAACCCATCGTGCCAGGAATCTCTGCAGATCACTCTGAGCGCAGTAAGCCCAAGGGGAGGATGGCGCTGTTCAGATCAGTAGGGTCTGCCTTGGAGAGAATGGTTGGGGTCCCTCCAGGCTCCATCAGGAGACAGAAAACCCTAATGATCAGACTCGCCCTCCCTCTGCAGCCAGATATCTTGGCAGCTTTACGATGGCTCCATCTTGTGGTTTATTCCTTCTGTGAGAAGGACTCACCCAAGTCCATTACAGAAAGTCAAGGAAGCAGTGAACCGATGGACATGTACCAAGTAATAAATCCTGCCTGTGAATTATTGACGACTTGTCTATTATAGATTTTAATATTTTAGGCAAACCACTGGTTTCTAAAAAGTAATACAAGATCCTTTGAATATAGAAGTTGGGAGAACTTTATTGCATCCTTTTCTTACCTAGACAGGATTAAAAATTTTAAATAAAGAAATTTCCATTTTATATAAAAGAAGGTTTCCCTCCCATCCTCTCTCTCTAGAGCTAGATCAATACATACATATTATGTCTGGTAAGACCATTACTAAGTAGAGCTACAGCTCTATGGCGATAGGAATGAATGCTACTAGTGTAATTTAACTAAATCCAATTATTTTTATTTGGTACTTTCTATGTGCTAGCCACCATGAGCTTTAGCAAAGTAAAATGGCCTTTGTTCTCCACAGCTTCCAGTCAAATGGGAGACACAGATACTGACATAAATAATTTTATTGCGAGATGAATTTGATATCTCTAATAACAAAGGAACAAACACCATGTTACAGTGGCTCTGGGCACAGGCTCCAGAGGCAGACTGCCTGCCCGGGTTGGAATTCTGGTCCTACCCATCACTCAGCTATGTGACCTTGGCAATTAACCTTCTTTACTCAGTTACTTCGTCTGTAAAATCTACCTTGGAGGATTATTGTGAGGATTAAGGGTGGCACAAAAGGAAGTGTTGTTCATATTGGTATAATTATTACGAGCACATAGGGTAAGGATGGACTGACTGACAAGGACCCGGGAAAGCCAACAAGAGAAACGGAATCTGCAACCAAGTTTTGGATCACAGTAAGGATTTTGGTGTGCAGTGATAGGAGAGAAAGCATTTCATAGGGAAGGATTAGCCTGAGCAAAGGCCTGGAAGTAGTGAGAAGAGGGTGAATGACAGCTGGGTGGGCTGGTGCTGTGGCTACAGTTCTAGGCATCTGAACTGTGGGGGGAGCGAGGGGCAGAAGAAATGACACTGAGAGAAGGTAGGCTGACATCTGACTGGAGGAGGAGATGAATGCCAGGATAAAGAGCCTGAACATTATTCTGTAGGCAATGACAGTCTGAGAGGCAGGGTATCACAGTGAGAAAGAACATGGATTCTGGGTTTGAATCTTGGCTCTACCTCTTAAGAGCTGCGTGACCTCAGGCAAGGTACCTAACCTTTCTGTGCCTCTGTTTCCCCCCCCTATAAAATGAGTGTGTTGAGGACTAACTGACTGTATACATGCAAAGAGCTTAGAACAGTGCCTGGCACACAGTGACACCCATAAGTGTTTGCTCTTCAAAGGTAGAACATTGGCTTATGGCACCTCTTCCTGCCATCCTGACAGCCCTTCAGGGGCAATGACTGGGTCGAGGGCGTAAGACTGCTTTTCAACTTTCAAAACCACCACATGGAAATACATGCTCTCTTTTAGACACAAAACTTCCATGGTACATGAAAAGATTTTCTCTCACAGGGCAGACAAGTCAACGCTGGCGCTAAACGTGAGCACGTGCACGACAAGGCAGCATGACTCTGAGTTTGCCCAGGACTTTATCAGATCACCGTGGCCATGCAATGTGGCAAAATGTACCGTTTATGAGAAGATGAGATCTGTGCTCACTTTTGAATGATGGCAAACGTTTTAATATGTGTGGTGGCAGGGAAGGGGGTGAGCTGAATGCATAGTCACAATTTCTCAGACAATCCCTCAGGCAAAGAACTTACTTCCAGATCCATCCTTGACTCGAGGTCCTTCCGGCTTGGCCTCGGAAATAATGTTTGCATTGGCGTTATTCTCCATCTCGATCACAAAGTCGCTGTCCTCCTCAAACTCGGGGTGGCTAAAGATCCAATCCAGGGCTCTTTCCAGGTTACTGTTCTAATAAAACAAAACATGTTTACAATGTATGCAGCCCTCAGGCCTCATTATATCCTGACCATGTGAACCAGGATGCCAAGCAGCTACGGCAGGAGGCCTGAATCCATTAGTCCTAAGTGTCTTCTGAGTAAGAAGCTCTGACTCCACATATGAAATGTGCTTGGTATTCTGCAAGTCTCCCAACCGAGATCAGTAACTAGACTCACTGGAAAAAATTCTGAGCAGCAGATCAGCATTCCAAGGCCCATATCAGTCTTTATTTCTGCAGGCTGATGCTGATAATGATGGGGTACAGAATGCCAAGGAGTATGGCATGTGTTTGGGTGCAGCCCTTCTGAAGGCCACAGTAACTGCACTACATTCTCTGCCAACTATATTTCCTGCAGATAACCATGCCAGGTAGAAGGGTACCAATGTGAGTACTACGTTAACACCTCCTCTCCCCAAATGTTGGCACAATGGTTGAACTGCAGTAGAGACAAAATTAATACCTTGATTAATGATGACAACACTGGTTAGTTAAGTTAAATTGTTTTAAACTGACTTCCGTACAGTTCAAACCAACCAGAAAAACATGTCCATCTCCCCCTGTTTGTGATACCACTGGAGGGGTAAAGAGTTTATTTAGACATAGTCAGAATCTCTGGTGGAAGAGTCAACCAAGGAAAATAAGACATAAGCAGGTGCCCAGAGTGAAACAAATGCTAGTTGAGAATCGTGGTGACCAGCAGGCAACCAGTCCAGACACTGAGAAGGAATCGGTAGCAGACAATCACTCATAAATGGAACATAGTGTGGCAAGGAAGGATAGGTTAAAAAAAAAAAAAAGTACTTTCCCCTCAATATTAAACAAAGATGTGCACTGTGAAAGGGAAACTTCTATCTATCCTCTAGCTTCATGGTGCCTTCTCTCCTGACAATATCAGAAGGTTCATGAATACCGGGAGAACCTTCTCTCTCTGCAGAGGGAAACAGAAGCAGAGAATTCCAAGGACCCATTCAGTCTTCACTATGAGGACTTCCGGGGACATTTCTCCAAGGTCTTAGTATCAAAAAAGCATGATTTTTCCTAAAGAACTGCCTGATTGAACACAGAATTTCAATGCATCCCTCTTCGCTCTAGGACAACACGTAAGCTGCAGGTCAAATGTCTGGCCCTCTGTTAATAAGCATTAAGATGATATGGAGTTTCTTTCAGTTAGATCATCTTGCCCCAGTTATATTATCTCTCTATTTTTTTTCTTATCTCCCTAGTGTTAAACTCTCTGTATGATTCCCTCATTCATTTACTTGAGCTTTATATATACTATATGCAAATAAATCTCCGTGGCCCATGGTGGTGTATAGAGTAAGGCAAACATGACCCCAAAAGATCACAGAATATTGGAAAGTTTCAATTGCTACTGACGAAATACAAACCACTCAATCAGAGAAGAGAATCCACGGCACAGTCTCTCGCACTTACCGTTGCTCGTAGCGCCTGAATAGCCTGATTTCGATGGAATCCCATGGAGGTGATGATAGATACAGTCTCCTCCGGAGGCTGGTTATCCAGCCCAGTAGCACCAAAAACAGAGGCTCCAGCAGAGGCTGCTCCTCCATAACCAGGCATGGTCAATGGTTCGGCAAAATCTGGGGAAAATAATCATGCTCAGAACTTTTTCTCTTTTTTTATCTTAAAATAAACAATACTTCAAAGCCAAGAAGGAAGAATACATGTAAAGTTACAATAATCAAGACAGTCAGTACTGGCATAAAGATAAACATAGATCAACTGAACAGAATTGAGAGTCCAGAAATAAGCCCACAAATCCATGGTCAAATGATTCCCAACAAGGTTACCAAGACCATTGAATGGGGTTAGGACAATCTTCTCAACAAATGCTGCTCAGAGAATTTCATATTCACGTGCAAAAAAATGAATGCAGAACTCTACCTCACACCATATACAGAAATTAACTCAAAATGGATTATTGACCTAAATGTAAGAGCTAAAACTACAAAACTCGTAGAAGAAAACATATGAGTAAATCTTTGTGACACTGGGGTAGGCAATGGTTTCTTAGATACAACACCAAAAGCACAAGAGACAAAAGAAAAAAATAGATAAATTACACCTCATCAAACTCAAAAACTTTTGTTTACAAAGATACCATCAAGAGAGTGAGAAGACTTGACCTAAATATAAGAGCTAAAACTACAAAACTCGTAGAAGAAAACATATGAGTAAATCTTTGTGACACTGGGGTAGGCAATGGTTTCTTAGATACAACACCAAAAGCACAAGAGACAAAAGAAAAAAATAGATAAATTACACCTCATCAAACTCAAAAACTTTTGTTTACAAAGATACCATCAAGAGAGTGAGAAGACAACCCACGGAATGGGAGAAAATATTTCCAAATCATATATCTAAGGTACTTGTATTCAGAATACAAAAAGAACTCTCAGAACTTAACAAAGGGAAAAGGATATGAATAGACATTTCTCCAAAGATATATAAATGACCAATAATATGAAAAGATGCTCTACATCATTAGTCATTAGGAAAATGCAAATCAAAACTATAATCAACAACAAAAAGACACATAAACTCATTAAAAATGGGCAAAGAATATGAATAGACATTTCTCCAAAGGTATATAAATGACCAATAATATGAAAAGATGCTCTACGTCATTAGTCAGTAGGAAAATGCAAATCAAAACTATAATGAGACACCACTATGGTGATAGTTGTAAGTTTACTAAAAACCACTGAAGTGTACACTTTAAATGAGTGAATTATCTTAATAAAGTATAACATAGAGTCACCATATGACACAGCAACTCTACTCAAGAGAAATGAAAACGTCCACACAAAAATTTGTACACAAAAATAGTTATAGCCACATTATTCATAGTAGCCAAAAAGTGGAAACAACCCAAGTGGCAATCAACTGATCTATAATAATAAAAGCGTAATATGCTAACACATCCACTGGAATGGCTACAATAAAAACAGTAATAACAAGGTTGGTGAGGATATGGAGAAACTGAAACCTTCATACACTGCTGGTGGGATATAAAATGGTGCAGCCACTGTTGAAAACAATTTTGCAGTTCCTCAAAAAGTTAAACATAGAGTCACCATATGACACAGCAACTCCACTCGAGAAATGAAAACATGCCCACACAAAATAGTTATATCCACATTATTCACAGTAGCCAAAAAGTGAAAACAACCCAAGTGGCCATCAACTGATCTATAATAATAAAAGCGTAATATGCTAATTAGACTGGACGTCCTTCTGGACGTCCTTCTGGACAACCTTCCAGACAAAGCTGGGGATGTGAGGGAAGCCTGGGTCCCGGGTGCCAGAGGGAAGCTGGTGACGGCAGCTGGGGGAAGGAAGGCCTACTCTTGCACAAATTTTGTGCATTGGGCTGCTAGTAAAAGGATAAATAAAATGCAGTGTGTCCATGCAGTAAAATATTATTCAGTCATAAGAAAAAATGAAATACTGATACATGCTACAACATAAATGAACCTTAAAAGCATTATGCTAAGTGAGGGAAACTATACACAAGAAATATCGTATTGTATGCTTCCATTTGTATGAAATGTCCGAAGTAGACAAATCCAGAAAATTGACTAGTGGTTGCCAAGGGCTAGGAAGAGTGGGGGAATGGAAAGTGACTGCTAATGTATACAGGATTTCTTTCCAGGGGACAAAAATATTCTAAAGACTAGTAAAAGGATAAATAAAATGTAGTGTGTCCATACAGTAAAATATTATTCATTCATAAGAAGAAATGAAATACTGATATATGCTGCAACATAAATGAATCTTAAAAGCATTATGCTAAGTGAGGGAATCTATACACAAAAAAATCTCATATTGTATGCTTCCATTTGTATGAAATGTCCAAAATAGGCAAATCTAGAAAATTGACTAGTGGTTGCCAAGGGCTAGGAAGAGCAGGGGAATAGAAAGTGACTGCTAAAGTGTACAGGATTTCTTTCCAGGGGACAAAAATATTCTAAAGTTAGGTAGTGGTGATAGCTGTACAACTCTGTAAGTTTATTAAAAACCACTGAAATGTACACTTTAAATGAGTGAATTATCTTAATAAAGTAGATAAAAGTAAAAGCTAAACAGGCCCCATGTCTTCACGCACATTTGTCTATTTCAAGTCTTCATCCTCTCCTCGGTAGAAGTATATCCCATATCTTTCCAGTGGTCTGAATTATATCTCAACCAAGCTATTACTTAAAAATAAGAGGAAAGACAAACACTGTGACTTTACTCCACAGGCAAAGGAAGCACACACACACACACACACCACACACTGCAGCAGACTGTGAGCTAAAAAGTCATTTGGGGGACAGACCTGGAGGGTTTGGAAGGACCAAGCCTTAGTTAGCATCACTGAGTTCTGCATCAGACTCAAAAGCCATTCCATTTCCGACCACCTACCTGGCTCCTCCATGTGAACAATGATCCAGTTGAAGGCCACCTCGGCTCCCATATTTCCAGTAAAGTACACAGCCTTCCGACACGCTTCTAGAGGGAAGCCCATCTCGGCCAGCTGCATCACCGATGACTCATCGATGTCTGAGGCTACAGAGCACAGCAGGACATTCTGGTCTTTTTTTTAGAAAACCAAGAATATCAGCTCCCATACAATTAAAGGAAATAAAAGGCTATAAAATTAACACACAATCCAATGACACTAACAGCCTTGAGAGTATTAATACTACCATATCCTGCCAGACGTGTGTCTTCATTATGTGTCCAGCATCAGGAGCAAAAAAGTGACTGGCTACTGCACTATCATTGCAAGAAGAGGCCTCCTCATGTGGCCAGAGAAGAAAGAAATGGCATCATTAGCCCTCATTCATTCATGAGGAAACAGGCTCAGAGAAGTTAAGTAAATGATTCTAGGTCAGACAGTCATGAATGGCAGAGCCCAACTTTTGTTATGAATCGTAATGTAAATATCTGATATGCAGGATGGTCTTAGGCGACCCCTGTGAAAGAGTCGTTCGACCGCCAAAGGGGTCGCGACCCACAGGTTGAGAACCGCTGACCTAAAGCTTTGCCCTCAATAGGAATCATGATAATCATCTGGTCAATCCAAGCACTGAAAACCAACTCTCTAATTTCGTATGGGGAGATTTAGTGTATTCCCAGAACCATGTCAGCCCTCAGATCATGCTCAAGACCTCTACAGCAGCCTCTCCTAGGACTGAAATTGGAAGAGAAAAGCATTATCTACAGGTCAAAAGGGCTGTTCCTATAGGTCAAAAGGGCTATAGCAGGCCCTTAGGTATATCAGCAATCAAAGGAAGTACTCAACTCTGGGAAATGGAGAGCACAAATGTTAACAATAGTTCGTCTCCAGAAAGGCTTTGTAGACAAAAATATTCAGTGTAGCCGAAACCGGTTTGGCTCAGTGGATAGAGCGTCGGCCTGCGGACTGAAAGGTCCCAGGTTCGATTCCGGTCAAGGGCATGTACCTGGGTTGCGGGCACATCCCCGGTTAAAAATAAAAAAAAAATAAAAATAAACACTCCCTCTTTCTCCTAATTATTATCTAAATATTTAGTATAAATAGTGTATTTTTAATTTTTTTTTTTTTAGAAAACCAAGAATATCAGCTCCCATAGAATTAAAGGAAATAAAAGGCTATAAAATTAACACACAATCCAATGACACTAACAGCCTTGAGAGTATTAATACTACCATATCCTGCCAGACGTGTGTCTTCGTTATGTGTCCAGCATCAGGAGCAAAAAAGTGACTGGCTACTGTACTATCATTGCAAGAAGAGGCCTCCTCATGTGGCCAGAGAAGAAAGAAATGGCATCATTAGCCCCCATTCATTCATGAGGAAACAGGCTCAGAGAAGTTAAGTAAATGATTCTAGGTCAGACAGTCATGAATGGCAGAGCCCAACTTTCCAACCCAGGGCTGGTTCGCTCTCATGCTAATCGTCACTCTTGTGAGGTACAGGGACATTAACCACCATTGTCACTGGTTTACATTTGCTACCTCAACTTGCAGACAAAGAATCATTTCCACTGAGGAAAAGCTACATATACACACGTACAGAACAATGCCCTTCTACTCAACCCCCACAGATAAATGTATCAGGACAATAACCATTGTAGGACACTGGGAAATTTTTCAAAAGATACATACGGTCTATCAGTTGGTTCATCAGGCGATCTGGAAATTAAGGAAGAGGGAATAAAATGAGACCAAACCATGGCAAGGTGTTTTAGAGAAAGACCACCCCCACCTGACCAACATAAAGTCATTACAGTAAGGAGGGGAAATACCAGGTTTCAGGCATTTAGAGCAGATAAAACATGATGCTCTGGTTATCATCGTAATGAACTAAATCAGTTCTCTCCCTGTATTTCTAAAAACTCTATGTAATTACAAGCCAATGATTCTATTAAGAGCCTCAGAGAAAGCTGGAGTCGTGCTTATAAGCCATCTTGTCCTTCTATGATATTCATACTGATCTCTTCTTTCTTGAATTCCTTTCAAGAACCACCTGTACCCATAACCCAGAATGTCCCATATACAGGTCTCTCTACACTCTGTGCTTTCACATTTGATTCACATTAGAGAACTATGGGACAAGATGCCTATCTGGAATCCTGTCTTGCTCCTCTTGGATTCACCTTACCCTCCTTGTGCACTCAAATTCGGTCACCAATAACATTCACTGCTCATGTGATGAAAGGCCTTTGGTAGAGCGGCCTAGGGTGCTCTATCACTACGAGTTATTCCACTTAATTAACTCTTTAAGAAGGTGATCAGTAAACAGGTGAGCAAAGAAGCCAGAATGAAACTGGTTTCATCAGAATAAATGAGCTAATCGTGGAACCAAGATTTTTCAGCACTGTCCTCGGAACCACGAAGGTGAGGCAACTATTTTTTGCATGTCCTTTTCCCTTCAAAAGTGAAGCATTATGAACAATGAATGACTTATCATTCACAGAGTGAAAGAGAAACTCAAACCACTCTCTGGCTATGAAGCAGTGATGAAGCTGGGAAGGTAAGATGTGGGCAAAATGTTTAAAACCAACACACACAGTTGAATTTCCCCTTCCGGTTGCCCAAAGGTATTCCGAGAATGACACCGCTCCCCTAGACTAGGAGCCTACTGGAAACACCCTCTTTCTCCCCTACACGTCCATTTGGGGAAATGGAGCGAAGGCAAAGCCATAGGCAACATAATCTAAAAACTTTCTGGAGATTGGCTGCCCTCTGTTGCACAGGTTCCTTTCAACTACTTGTGATGGGTCTGTGCCTCTTCCCATGTCAATTTTAAGTTTACAGTTACATCCAGGGCTCACTTCTGTGTGCCTATAGTGGGTTACATCAGAGGCAGACAGCCAAGGGACAGCAGAGTGGTGGGAGAGAAGTGACTATTCCAGCAGACTAGGGTAGCGGGAGGGGTAGAGAATGTCCTCCTGAAGATGATACCTTTTGAGTCATCAGGAATGACGATGGGGGGGCTGATGTCCGGAAGTTCCTCCTCTCCTGGCTGTAACCCCCTGGCTCGGAGATGGTTGATATCAAGTAGGTCTGGCATATCAATAGAAACATCTGCAAAAGGAGAGCGATTACATACACTGGATTCTCCAAAATCTCACAATCACCTCCTAAAATCAGCACCACTGACTCTACATGCATGTGTCTAGGCCAGTGGTCGGCAAACTGCGGCCCCTTGAGTGTGGCTCTTCCACAAAATACCACGTGCGGGCGCGCACGTACAGTGCGATTGAAACTTCGTGGCCACACTGAAGGGGCCAAAGAGCCGCATGTGGCTCGCGAGCCGTGGTTTTCCGAACACGGGTCTAGGCAGAGCTAAGGGAAGCTTTGCCATTTCCTGGAGCAATCATGGGCCAGAAGACTCATCACAACTGATTAGATTTTAGTGGTGAACCAGTGGAGAGTGCAGAGGGTGGCCGGATTTCACACTGAACAAGAACAAATGGAATAAGCCAGGAGTCACACACTGTCAGCCCATAGACCATTTGTAGCCCAGAAGCTTTCTGTGTGATGTTTTTAAACTTTGTTTTCAGCAAAAAAAATTCCAACTCTTAAATCCAAGATTTTAATGTATAAATCCAGATTTCCAGCTTATTTTGAAAACAAAACTGTAGCACCTTCTCATATGGGTGCCCTCTGTGACAGCCTGTCACAGACCTCGCCACTTCCTGTTGCCCCTATGACCCTGAGCCTCATCTTTGTGCTATTCTGATTCTTACAATAGAAAAATGTATTTCTAATCCATGTCTTTATCCAAAATGGAATACCGAAGAAAGACCAAGATAGCTAGCTACATGTCTCTTACACCCATCCATTTCTTTAATGTACGTTATCACCCTGTCCTCATTAGGCATGTGAGTTTGTAACCCCTTGTTTGTGCCTTTTCTCAGATCATGATGAGTAATGGGATTTAACTAAGGTAATAAATAAAGAATGAAGTTTTAAAGAAATTAGTTGAATCTCAGATCCTGGGTACATTTTTTAGCTTCTCAGTTCAGTAGTTCTTATGTTGACTAACATACAAAATTTATCAGTCTAATATCCTGTTGAGATTTAGTATTGCAGATATTCAGATATAATAATAAATGGGTTCAAATGGTATAGGGTGTGTGTCTTGGGCTAGCAAACAGAACCTGAACATAGTATCCCCCAAACCCATTATGATGCCAGGTATATCAATCCTACTTAAAACCACCACCCCAAGAAAAAGCTTCGTTTTAAAAAAGTTTTTAATCTTAGAGGACAGCAAAACAAACATAATGTCTGACCTACAAAATCAATACAATTGTTCCTCAACAGAAAAATTCAGGTTCATTAAAAGAAAGCTTTGGAACTCCTTTAAATTGAGCAAATCTATGAAATCTTATCTGGATTTTTGTTCCTTTCTAGGAATTCCAGGACAAAGAAAAATAAGAACACTGTGTCCAAAACAGTTCAAAGCCTTTCGAAGTCAGTTTTTTCCCAGGTACTTCTCAGATCCACGGAGGAAAGGCTAAGTGATGAGCATCCTGCCCTCTGCCCCCCTCCCTGCCCACAAAATCATTCACAGGAAGAGTGAAAGTCTGCCAGAGAACCAGTCACAGCCCGGCATAACGTCAAACAGGTGCTGTGTGAGCTGGCAGGGCTGGAGGGTTCTGGGAAATCACTCCAGCGATTTTCCATTCTTTTTACCCATTCCCTTCATTCGAGCAGACGAGTGCTTAATCAACCAGTGTAAAGCCTGAGTAGTTGTTTTTTTAAGTGCTCAAAAACATACAAAGTTTAAAACACTGGCAAACAGTCTGAGGTACTGGCTTGAAAAACCAAAGAGGATAAAACTGGACCTCCTTCTATGCCACGAAGGAGGCTTGACTTGGCGTGGTGAACACACAATACATGATACAGATGATGTATTATAGAATTGTACCCCTGAAACCTGTATAATTTCATTAACCAATGTCACCCCAATAAATTCAATAAAAAACAATAATAAATAAATACAGACAGTCCCCGTTCCCCAACCCTGCTCCCCCCATCACACTCTCCCATCACCTTCCCCACCGCGGGCCTCCCTACCCTTCCACCTCCGGTGCCCCACGCCCTCAGCCTCCCCTCCCCGTGCCCGGTCGCCCACCCCCTGGAGAAAAAATAAATAAATACATATATACATACATACAAGTAAAAAATAAAACATAGTATTTAATGATTTAAAAAGGAAGAAATTGCCCTGGTCTGTTTGGCTCAGTGGATAGAGCGTCGGCCTACAGACTGAAGGGTCCCAGGTTCGATTCTGGTCAAGGTACATGCTTGGGTTGTGGGCTCTGTCCCCAGTGGGGGCATGCAGGAGGCAGCCGATCAATGATTCTCTCTCATCATTGATGTTTCTATCTCTCTCTCCCTCTCCCTTCCTCTCTGAAATCAATAAAATATTTAAAAAAAAAAAAAAAGAAGAAGAAATTACGAATCCCAAGCTCCACTCCAGACCTGCTGAATCAGCATCTGCATTTACCAAGATCCCCAGGTAATCTGTATCCACCACAACCTTTGGGAAGCACTATTTATTGATTATGTGAGGGTCCTGTTTTCACTCCTAGAGTCCACTCATGCCAGACCCCATTATTCGAGGGGTGCCAATTTTACCATTGGTGCTTATCATATACTCTGATTCAAAAGAGAAAGGTGAAAATAATGGGAAAATAATGAAATGGAACTTTCCGGCAGCCAACCACTCATGGCTCTGTCACATGCCATGTTTTTTAAATGGTTAATTCGATGTTGTAAGCAAAAGCATGCACAAGATACCTACCGAATTTTTTGGGAACCCAGTCAAGACCAAAAGTGAACTTCTTTATCTGCACTACCAAGTATTCAGGGAATGAGGCGAAGCGAGATGTTCTGGGAAACACAAGGGGATTGTATCAGTGAAACAGGCAGTCAGAATTGTGAGCACAGTTCATGAAGCATCACCGTTGTCTGAGGCACCCCTGCAGTCCGCGCCTGGGCCAAGTGCAGGAACAGCAGACAGCCGTCAGCGCGCACACTCAGCCACTCCTGCTCATTCATCCTGGCTTTTTTATGAACGGGGGAGTATGCTGTCCTTTGAGAATGACTTTGGACCCATTGCCGAATTATTACTTTTACTTTGCTGTGGCATTTTCTGTTTCTGAAAAGTGCTTTCCAACCAGTTTTCGCTAAAACCCGTGATGAAACTTAGTATATACATTTGTAGGTCTGTGAGGACATGAATGCATTATGTGGGGGGTTTTTTACACTCAATATTATTTTGTATTAGTTTCAGGTGTACAGCAGAGTGGTTAGACAATCATATATTTTACAAAGTGTTCCCCCTAATACTTCAAGCACCCACCTGGCACCATACAGAGTTATTACAATATTAATGATTATATTCCCTGTGCTGTATTTTACAACCTCGTGACTGTTTTGTAACTACCAAATTGTACTTTTTAACTCCTTTACCTTTTGTATTATGTGTTTGCATATGGGGTTTGTAAAAGCTGCCCAAGCAATCCTGACACACTCTTGCCTCTGCTCCCTCTGAGAATCGCTATCCTACAGCACAAGTTGGCATTGAGGCGGGGGTGAGGGGGTGGTCTTTGAAGCTTTTGTTGAGGTTGACTGGTGGAAATGCCAGGGCCTCATTAACATACTACTGCACCTAAATCCAAGGTCACACGGATCCTAGAGGTATATATATTATGGGTAAGAGAGGCTGAATTGCCTGGAATTGAGTTTGGCAACTTTATGCACAGACTATTCAATGTGCACACCTAATTCATACCCTGGTTCCAGCTCATTCCCTCAATATTTATCATCTTAGTTATAACAATCATTTCTATTTCAGTGTCAATGTGAAGGTGGTAGGTATATGTAAAAAATAAAATTAGCTGTAGACAGGTACCATAGCTAACGTAAAAAAATTCTAGAAGAGCCTGTCTGGAAACTCCACTCTCCAAATCTAAGTCAGTGCCTTCTACCTGGACTGTATTCTCCCAGAATTCAGAAAACAAATGCAGATCATTGCTGCCCCCTAGTGCAGAAGAGAAGTCGCAGTACAGAGACAGAGCACTGTCCAAAGAGAGTTGAACTATGGTGGGTCCTGGATATGCTACTTAATTCACTCCAAATCGGAGCAAATCATACACCTTCCCTGAGGCTCCATTTTTTCACATCTACAAAATGGATTTATTAATAATATCTACCAGCTAGGACTGTGCAATGTTCATAAAATTATGTGAAACCGCTTGACACACTAGAATGTACTACTATCTATACCTAACGAATTAATATGATCATTTTGTCATGAAAGAACTAGACTCCATGAGGCCTTGGACATGACTCAATGTGTCACTGACCTGCATTTTGCCTGAGGCGAAATGCAACTGCTCTTCATCTCAAATTCTCCATCACAGTTGTGGCAGAGGGGACCAGGCAATAACATAACTGGAGCTTAACCATCCTAAGGAATGGATCTATTATGACCCTGGCTCACTCTCCAGAAATTACATATTATCTCTAATTAAGTTTTCCTATTGCTGAGAGGCAGTAATAAAGACCATTCTTACTTAATTATAGCCAAGTCCTCAATTGCACCAAAAACCAAGAAACTCCATCTGATATGTTCAACTAATGTAAAAATGTAACTTCTCAGGCCTCCTTCTCTTACCACATTAGCTTCCAATCTGAAAAGTATATAACAGTGAAATCAAGCAAAAGTCATCAATAAATCAACGATTTCCGAAATGTGGTTGAGGAGCCCCCGGGCTCTTGTAGTTGCTCTGTGGTCCGTGTCTGGGTGAAGTATCAGCTGGTAAGTATTACCATGGACAGGGGACAGGGTTAGGGGAGCAGAGCATAATTTAACATTCTTATGAGTAACTACCCATCTAAGAGTACCAGAAAGCAGTTAGATGATGTCCACTTTATATTTGCCCTGTTGGGTAAATATTTTTTATTCATCTTTGTAAGCTCCACTAGTCTCAAGTTGAATCACACATGTAGTAATGGTTAAATATATATAAGGAAATAAAATGAGCTAAGACATATAAAATGCTTAGAACAGTGTCTGACCTCGCTACTGTGTTGTCTATTGTTGACAACCTATTACCATTATTTAAAATATATCAATTATTGACAGCCGGCATGGCTCAGTGGTTGAGAGTCGATCTATGAACACTAAGACATATAAAATGCTTAGAACAGTGTCTGACTTCGCTACTGTGTTGTCTGTAGACAACCAATTATCATTATTTAAAATATATCAATTATTGACAGCCGGAATGGCTCAGTGGTTGAGCATTGATCTATGAATGGTTCAATTCCCAGTCAGGGCACATGCCCGGGTTGCAGGCTCAATCCCCGGTGTGGGGCATGCAGAAGGCAGCTGATCAATGATTCTCTCTCATCATTGATGTTTCTCTCTCTCTCTCTCTCTCTCTCTCTCTCTCTCTCTCTCTCTCCCCCTTCATCTCTGAAATCACAAAAAATATATTAAAATATATATCAATTGTTCATTAATTACAATTAAGGCGAAAATATTGTGTAAACCTTGTTAAGAAAATAAAAGCTGCCCCCTCTCCCCAAAATTAAGATTGTCTATTATATTAAAAACCTGACAACTGAAAAAAAGAAAGTAAAAACAATTCAAACCTTTCCGTTAAATATGGTAAAAATATGATAATTATTCAACCACTCTCAAATTGTATGTATAATCTAAGGCAAAAATAAAAGGGAAAGATAAAAATAACTGTAACAATGATTACAGCATACATTTACTCTGGGCCAGGCACTGTGCAAAGCACTTTATGTGGCTTATCTCACCTTAACCCTCCCCTGACCCTGTAAGGAAAGCATTATTATTATCCCCAGTTCACAGATAAGGAAAGGAGTTTAAGGAGGTGAGTGAGGTCACTTGGCCAAAAATTATAGCCAAGTCCTCAATTGCACCAAAAACCAAGAAACTCCATCTGATATGTTCAACTAATGTAAAAAATGTAACTTCTCAGGCCTCCTTCTCTTACCACATTAGCTTCCAATCTGAAAAGTATGTAACAGTGAAATCAAGCAAAAGTCATCAATAAATCAACGATTTCTGAAATGTGGTTGAGGAGCCCCCAGGCTCTTGTAGTTGCTCTGTGGTCCGTGTCTGGGTGAAGTATCAGTTGGTAAGTATTATCATGGGCAGAGAACAGGGTTAGGGGAGCAGAGCATAATTTAACATTCTTATGACTACCCATCTAAGAGTACCAGAAAGCAGTTAGATGATGTCCATATTATATTTGCCCTGTTGGGTAAATATTTTTTATTCATCTTTGTAAGCTCCACAAGTCTCACGTTGAATCACACATGTAGTAATGGTTAAATATATATAAGGAAATAAAATGAGCTAAGACATATAAAATGCTTAGAACAGTGTCTGACTTCGCTACTGTGTTGTCTGTAGACAACCAATTATCATTATTTAAAATATATCAATTATTGACAGCCGGAATGGCTCAGTGGTTGAGCATTGATCTATGAATGGTTCAATTCCCAGTCAGGGCACATGCCCGGGTTGCAGGCTCAATCCCCGGTGTGGGGCATGCAGAAGGCAGCTGATCAATGATTCTCTCTCATCATTGATGTTTCTCTCTCTCTCTTTCTCTCTCTCTCTCTCTCTCTCTCTCTCTCTCTCTCTCTCTCTCCCCCTTCATCTCTGAAATCACAAAAAATATATTAAAATATATATCAATTGTTCATTAATTACAAATTAAGGCAAAATATTGTGTAAACCTTGTTAAGAAAATAAAAGCTGCCCCCTCTTCCTCAAAATTAAGATTGTCTACTATATTAAAAACCTGACAACTAAAAAAAAAAAAAATGAAAGCAAAAACAATTCAAACCTTCCCATTAAATATAGTAAAAATATGATAATTATTCAACCACTCTCAAATTGTATAATCTAAGGCAAAAATAAAAGGGGAAGATAAAAATAACTGTAATGATGATTACAGCATACATTTACTCTGGGCCAGGCACTGTGCAAAGCACTTTACGTGGCTCATCTCACCTTAACCCTCCCCTGACCCTGTAAGGAAAGCATTATTATTATCCCCAGTTCACAGATGAGGAAACAGGGGTGTAAGGAGGCGAGTGAGGTCACTTGGCCAAAGTCACAGACCAGTGGGTTCAACACTGGGGATTCACTGCCACCTGTCCACCTAAAGTTTGTGTCCTGCAGCCCCACTGCGTGCCTGTCTCTTCATAAATGATAAAGTTCAAGCAAAAACTCTCCCTTTGGACCCTTAATCTGTGAGCTGCTTGAGGGCTAGGTCTTATTCAACTGATTTCCTAGAACACACTAGGTGAGTGACAGTATTTGCTGAGTGAATGAAATTTCAAACACTAATATTGTTCCCAACACTGTCTGTTCAGGACCATTTAAGGGAAGGGTTTATATCTGGTCCATACTGACCCACAATCTACCAAGATCCTTCAGATGTCATTTGCCTCTTCCTGGCCTTTCAGACCCTGGGTCTAACACAAGAAAAGTTCAAGGCCCCAAATTGCCATAATAATAGTGTCTGAGTTATAGCCTATGTTGCTGGAAAAAAAATAAAAAGATCTTTTAGGAACCCAATGAACTGGTTTCCCCAAAACTAATATTTGAAACATGATAAGGCATAATAAGGAATAAGTGAGGCAAATTAAAGATCATAAGGCTCTATGTATAAATAAGCATGATGAGGGAGATGGGGCACTATATTATACTAGAGGCCCGGTGCACGAATTCATGCATGGGTGGGGCCCCTCTGGGTGGCCTGCGGGGATCGGGCTGAAACCTGCAGTCCAATGCCACCTGAAGCTCCTACCTGCCACTCCCGCTCATCCCAACCCCACTGCACCTGCTGCAGGCTCCCACCCAATCAGTCCCAGTTGGGAGAGGCTCGCACTCCCGCAGCAGTGCTCACCAGCTGTGAGCCCTGGGTGTGGCACCCTCCTGAGGGGAGTGGCCTACAGGATCAGGCTGAAACCGGCTCTCTGACATCCCCCAAGGGGTCCCAGATTGCAAGAGGGTGCAGGCCAGGCCAAGGGACCCCACTGGTGCACAATCAGGCTGGGGAGGGACCACAGGAGGGCTCCAGGGCGTGTCCAGCCCATCTCGCTCAGTCCTGATCAGCTGGACCCCAGCAGCAAGCTAACTTACCCGTCAGAGCATCTACCCCCTGGTGATCAGTGCATGTCATAGTGAGCGGTTGAGTGGCCTTAGCATATCATTAGCATATTACACTTTGATTGCTTGAACAGTCGACCGGTCACCGAATGACCAGACACTTAGCATATTAGGCTTTTATTATATAGGATAACCCAGGAAAATAAGGAGTTTAAACTTTGAACTCAATCAACCTGAATGAGTCCCCAGTCTGCCACTTACTGGCCAATTACTTCTACTTTTATTTCTTCATCTGTAAAATGAGAATAATGGTACCTGCCTCATAATAGTACTAAAAAGACTATATATAACTGATGGGCAAAGCTTAGCACATGACCTGGAATGATTAATGTACAATAAAGAAGATAGTTGCTTTATTACCCTATAGCACTGTTTTCTCCTTCTCCACGAAGACCAGTTTTCAATTATTAACAATTGTAATACATCCAGTATTGTTTTCATGTATATAAGAGCGTGTATATGTAAGAGACGGAGAAAAAGGAAAAACACGTTTAATATCTACTGTTATTAGATAGGACTAGAGCAAGCAGAAACCCTCCTCAGGAGTTCTAGATAGTGATGTTAGCACTGCCTACAACAAGCATGTCAAACTCAAAGGCTAACATGGGCCAAATAAACGAGGCATGCGGCCCGCGGCCCGCGAGTTTCACATGCTTGGCCTAAGTCTTAGTAGCATGTGAAGAGAAAATCAGGTAGGTCTGCAAGCATTGTTCCTCCATTGCAGGTGGGAGAGCCTACAACTAAGTCTTAGTAGCATGTGAAGAGAAAATCAGGTCTGCAAGCATTGTTCCTCCATTGCAGGTGGGAGAAGGACACTGGGCGCTGACTTTGGCCTGGAATAGAATACTAGCTGGGAAGTGACCACTAGCCCAGAGGTCAGAGGCTCCATGTCTGTGGAAAGCTAATGCCTTCCACGCCCATTTTAAAGGTGGGCCTTTTCCGAGTGCTCAGAGTCGCCTTCCTGCAGGCCCAGAAAGTATGTCACACCCTGTGCTTCTAAGACTCGAATCCACTTTTCTGAAGAACACTCTGCAGCTCACACCTGAGCTGAGGGCTTCCTAGGCTGCCGGGCCCTGGATCACTTCCACCTCCCACACAGAGTCAGAATTAAAGCGCAAAGAGAAAAGGATAATTATTTGAAGAATCTTCAGCCTTTTGTCAATACTTAAAGTAAAAAAAAAAAATCAAGTCAACATGTTGTACAGCTTAAACTTACACAATATAATATGTCAATTATATGTCAGTAAAGCTGGGGGGAAATAACAAAAGAAATTGTTTCCACCACAACTATCATGTATAGATACCTAACTGCCCAAAGCTGTCTCCAAGTTGCAATGCAGTGAATACCAATGTTTGACATACCAACTGTTACCTGCAAGACAGGTGCACGTGCGCGCGCGCGCACACACACACACACACACACACACACACACACACACACCAAAACTGAGCAATCCTAGGATGAAAACTTATGCTGCAATGGATAATTGATAACTGAATGAACTATTATTCATCCTCATTTGGATATAAAGAACCCTTTTTTAAATTATTTTTTTAAAATATGGCTTGATTTAGCTTTTAAATAAATTCTTTCTGTTTTCCCATTTTTGATATATGAGGTCAATCATCTAAAACAGGAATCCTGAGAGATGGCTGCCACAGAGAATAAGTGACTTAGGTTTGACTGCTACTTGAAGCTGAGATAAAAACAGCCAGCAGTAGCTCTTCCACATTCCACTCCCCTTTCCATCAACTAGAGCTCAAACATAGCCTAGAATAAAAATGGCCAAAGAAAATGTAAAAGTAGGGGAACTCCAGAGCCAGACTTTCAGATTTCCTCTCATTTTTGCCTCTATACGTACTCTTTTTCCAATTATACAACGTGTGTCAGCAAGGACTTTACTGTATAAAATTAACTAAGGTGTCAACTGAAGAAAGAAACAGTTTATGTAGCTGACGAGGCTGACAATGTGGACCTAGAACACCTCCTGCCTAAGTCCCGAGCAGCTCATCTGAACACACTCAGGAGCTTTGATGGCCACTTAGCGGGGCCCTGAGACCCCTGGCTTCCAGGTAGGAAGACAGTCAACCAAGTTTAAGCCAAATATCTAATTAGGGATTAAAATCTATCACAGTGGAGTTTAAACATTAGAGATAGTTATACGTATTTTTGCAATTTCATTCATATCACTCTTGCCATGGGGGAGAAAGTTCTTGGCCACACATTCTTGGCAAAAAAAAAAAGCAAATTCTTAATAAAGGATAAACGACAACCTTGCTTTTCAAAAAAGAAAGCATTCCCTCCCTAGCACATAATACATAGAGTATATGCCTGCTTTATTGCACAGGTCTCACACAAGTGAGGTGTATAACATCTAAGGTTGTGTGAATCATAATCCTATCTCACCACACATGAGCAAGCATGCGCAGACTCATACAATACCCTACCGCCTCTCCCTTACCTCTGTTCCCACCTCTCAAGGCCACCTCCCTATCCACCACCACCAAATAAGCACACACATGTACACACACACGGACACACTTACTTCACACCCGCAGACTTTGCCTGTAGGGCACTGCTCCAGAAATCATCCACGTTTTCTGGTTCAGAAAAGGCCTGGAGGCAGGCACTAAATGGTATCTTGGCACGAACCAACTCAGGAAGGGGTCTTCTGTTTGCTTCTGCTTCCCTTCTCGTTAACTCATAGGCGATCAGTTCATCTGAGAAAAAGAGCAAGCAAATTAAGGTCTTTGCAATCGCTCTTATCTTCTCAAAATGGAAAACACCCCCTTTGGACAACCTTTGCTGAAGGCTCCTGGACTGGGGCAGGGTTGCTTACTTGCTGCCCTTCACAGATGGGAAACGCATGCAGAACGCTTGTTCTTGGGGTGTCTTTTATAGTAGCACTGACAGGCTGCATCGAGCCATTCATATTTGTTCCCCTTTGTGACTGACGGGAGGGAACTGCAAACTCTGGCCTAGTTGAGAGGTTTAGACCAGGTGTGTGATGTAAGTGATGCTCGAACCTGGTCTGGCACTTGTCCAGAGGTCAAGGCTGGTTTATCCAAATGCCACCCTCCCATCACAAAGTCTTCACACAGAGAATTTCACACTGAAGAGAACCCGAGGGCTCACCTCTTCCCAGGCCCTTCTCAATGATTAGAGGTCATAGAGGGTGTGGGCCAAGGAGCAAAAGGAGCCATAAGGACCACAGTTACCCACAGCACACAGCCTGTGGTATTGATATTGCCAAGACAACTCCCAGGTCAGATTACTCAACACCTCAGACAGTAGAGTAACCAACCCAGAAGGCCTTTCTACACTATCCCTGCTGAGTGGTTAAACACCAAGAAAAAAAGAAGTGACCACATTGTGAACTTCCCAAGGTCAGCAGATCAGCTCTTGGAAAACACCTGCAAGTCAAAATGTTATGTAGATTTTGAATGGGCCTTTCTGGGACTTCCTTTTGTGTTAAAAAAAAATCTACTTTACCAAGCAAAGCTATCATTCAGAATTGAAGGCCAGATAAAGAGCTTCACAGATAAGAAAAAGCTAAAGGAGTTCATCACCACCAAACCAGTATTATATGAAATGCTGAAAGGTATCCTGTAAGAAGAGGAAGAAGAAGAAAAAGGTAAAGATACAAATTATGAACAACAAATACACATCTATCAACAAGTGAATCTAAAAATCAAGTGAATAAATAATCTGATGAACAGAATGAACTGGTGATTATAATAGAATCAGGGACATAGAAAGGGAATGGACTGACTATTCTTGGGGGGAA